CAGTTGTGCGAGTTGCAGACACGAGACCTACTCTTTCTGCACCTGCCGCCACTACTATTGTGCCACCTCTAGTATCTACACCACCAGCTCAGCAGACTTCAGTAGAAGCATTCGCCGAGGCAGTTATCTCAACGCCATCTACACACAGTAGAGCAACGAGCCAGAAGACCCCTTCAGGAGCTCCAGAGGATCGTGCCTAGAGAGACGTATAGCACTATACTTTTTCGAGATTTTTGGTAACTTGTTGCCAAAGAGGGAGAAAATGTATAGATCATAGGCTTCGGGAGAGAGTGTCTCGTTCTTTTGCTTGTTGGTTTTTATTGCCCGTTGCTACAATGTTCGTTTGTTTCGTGCTACTTGGTTGTTTTATGCTCATGAGATACTATATTTGGTTGTGTGGTTGATCATACTATGCCTAATGTGTGATTTATGCTTATCTCTATGATTATTTGTGTATGATCATTCACTTGTGTATTTGGTGATGCGTGCATGTTATTTCACTCATATCATTTTGTGCGCTCCACTAAGATGTATGTGACATGGAAGAGTGACCCATGATGCTAATCGATTGTGTATTTGCATTCAAACGCAAATCTTAAATAATGCACAAATTTAGGGGGAGCTCTTGCTTATCACATACTTCTCAAAGCGACAATTTATTTCATTCATTTTATCATTTGTCGAAACTTTGATCTATATGTTGTCATCAATTACCAAAAAGAGGGAGACTGAAAGTGCAACTAATCCCGGGGTGGTTTTGGTAATTCATAACAACATATAACTCATTGAACTAATATACATTCAAAATAAATATTTCAGGATGTTCAATGATTGGCATGGCATGGACTAGAGATGTTGACCCCTCAAAATGATAGGGACAAAGATTGGCAAAAGCTCAACACTCTTCATTTCTATTTAAGTGATCCAAGATCACATTGAGTCCATATGAAAGGCAATACCATTAAAAGGGGATGAAGTGTTGCTTAATGGTCTACTTGCTCAAGTACTTAGTGATATTACTCCAAAACCCTCAGCCACTTTCTCCATCCAAGTATGTCCAAAACATAAATCCAAACTCGGCCCCACCGATTCTTCCTACCTGGAGCCATCGAGTTTACTTGACATAGCCACTACCAGAAACCCTAACGATTTGGTCACGCCGATACAGATATCGGTCTCACCGAGATGGCCTTGCCAGTGCTCTGTGATCTATTGCATTCGCTTCAGTCTCACCGAGTTCATGTAATCGGTCTCACCGGGTTGGCTTGATAGATTCTCTCTTGCTTATTGCTTCACTTCGATCCCACTGAGTTGATGCAATCGGTGCCACCGTGATGATGTTTTTCCTAAGCCCTAGCACATCGGTCCCACCGAGATTCCTTACGTTCATATTTTTGAACAGATCGGTCCCACCGAGTTTTCTGATCGGTGCCACCGAGATGGGTCAAAAGTGTGTAACGGTTGGATTTTGTGTGGAGGCTATATATACCCCTCCACCCCCTTCTCCATTAGTGAGAGAGCCATCAGAACGTGCCTACACTTCCACCATCCATTTTCTAAGAGAGAGCCACCTACTGATGTATTGAGATCAAGAGATTCCATTTCAACCTTTTGAACCTTGATTTCTAGTCTTCCCCAAGTTGCTTTCCACTCAAATCCCTCTTCCACCATAGCCAAATCTGTGAGAGAGAGTTGAGTGTTGGGGAGACTATCATTTGAAGCACAATAGCAAGGAGTTCGTCATCTAAACACCATCTATTACCTTTTGGAGAGTGGTGTCTCCTAGATTGGTTAGGTGTCGCTTGGGAGCCTCCGTTGTGATGTGGATTTGAACCAAGAAGTTTGTAAGGACAAGGAAATCGCCTACTTCGTGAAGATCTACTTGAGTGAGGCAAGTCCTTCATGGGTGATGGCCATTGTGAGATAGACAAGGTTGCTTCTTCGTGGATCCTTCATGGGTGGAGCCCTCCATGGACTCACGCAGCCGTTACCCATCGTCGGTTGAAGTCTCCATCAACATGGACGTATGATAGCACCACCTATCGGAACCACGCCAAAAATCTCCGTGTCTCCATTGCGTTTGCCTTCTCCAAACCCTTCCCTTTACCTTCATATGCAATGTTTTACTTTCCGCTACTATACTCTTAGAATTGCATGTGCAGGTTGATTGCTTGACTTGTGCTAATTGCTAAAATCTGCCAACAACTAAAATTGGGAAAAGGATAGATTTTTATTTGGTCAAGTAGTCTAATCACCACCCCCTCTAGACATACTTTCGATCCTACAACGGTCTTCACGATCCGGCAGCGCTTCACCATCCAGAGTTAATCGTCGCCGGAGAATTAGAGGGAGGAAATTAGAACCACAATGGGCTTCTAATTATGAGGATTATAGAATCTAGTTCAAGCTCTAATTGATCAACTAGGATCATCTAGAACTAGAGGAGGCTCCAAAGCTTGTGTCTCTAAAGACAAAAATCCTCTAGTATATATATGTTGGACGAGAGGGGAGGGGCGCACAAGGGGGGAAGGTTTCCCTTCCCCCTTCGCCGGCCAAGGAGGGAGAAACCCCCTCCAATTCGGCCTCCGGCCCTTCCTTCCCCAAGTGGAAGGGGGGAGCCTCCTTATTGGGCCCAAGTGGCCCAAGTAGCTTTCCGCTACTTGGCATTTTTAGGCCCATTGATATTTAAATATAAAGTCTCCTAATCATATTTAGATCCTTTTAATATTAATTTAACATTACCGAAACTATTTCTGCCTATATATAATTTATCGGTAATACCCGGTATTGCCCGATAAACTCTAAAACCCTTTCGGTGACCCCGAAACGCTTTCGATTCATCTCGAAAATATTTCGAATATTAGTCGGATAGTTTCACAAATATATTCTTGTTACTCCTGTCCTACTAATACTCAGCAGATCGTGATTACCTTAACCTTGTTACCCTGTAGGTTTGATAAAACATACACATGAACAAAACCCCTTTGTTCCATATCGATCCCTATGAGTACACGAATGACATTCGAGTGAACCAATAGTTATCATGTGCTATTACCTTTGCTTCGCGATACTTTACAAAATCTGAGGTGAGATATATCGGTATCCTCTTGAGTCATACACATGCTCACTATACCGGTATCCACGGTTTTGTTCTTCTTTCTCGTAGACATGTTCTAGCATCCACGTGACATAGTCACCTGTGTCTGGCTAGACGATGATGGGTACCGTCACAAGAGAGGGCCCTAAGAATATCTCTCCATCGTCGGAGGAGCAAATTCCACTCTCGGACTATCTAATCCCTTGTCAAACTTTCCAATGAACATGTAAGTTGTCGTTATGATCATCGTGTTACAGATGACATTTGAGTAACCCCAAAGTTCATCGTGTGGTAAGAAGGGACTACGATACTCTCATGGTCTAAGGAACTAAATCACATGTTAACACTCCATGTTATAACAATTGACTTCTGATGATATAATCAGTATAGCAAACAAGTTTGGGTTGATTCAGTATGATCGTTCTTCTAACATCATACTCTCAATATTGTTTTAGGACTATCGTTACACTTAACAATATCCTAAGATCCAGAAAACATGAGCACCAACAACATTTGAACCAGTCTTAGAGGCAAGATTAGGAACCTTATTTTACCATTTATCATTTCACACGTGCATATGAGTTTTCCACTGAATCGCATATTTCAAGATCATAGCAGTTATAGCATAGGCTATGAACTCTTAATTATGAACATGAAAAAATACAATATTATTGCCTCTACGGCATATTTCCAACAAGACAGGCATGAATTCGGCTTTTTCTAGGAAAAGTCTATGCCTTCGCAAACAACCCCTGACGAATGTAATTTTACTACTCTTGACATGCCGACTGATTTGTTCGCATTGTCATAGTCAGTTTTCGGCTTCACCCACCTAAGGTACTTAACTGTTCAACCAGAAATAACAATCACAGAGGTGCTCCCGGTATGCCCTTAGCCAAACAAGCGGAAACGTAGGGAGTAAATATAGGAGCCAGACAACCCAGCTATTGTCCAAAGACACAAGTGGACATCAATGCATATAATGGCGTAAAGTCCAAGGAAGTCGTCGGTATCTCCACGGAGTACTTCGACGCGTCGTATTGGGTTGTCTATGCAGCCCCCGGGAACGGCATGTGGTTCCACTATGTGATGATCGATGAGGTGTGCGGCCCGAGGAGTTATCCTGATTGCTATCATGACTGGGATGGACGTCCCGTCCGAGTTTTTGGCGTGTGCATGGCAGCTGTCCAGACGCCCGTAAAGCTCCCTGCTTTGCCTTTGGTTTGCGGGAAAACGGACGTCCGGACCGGTCCACGGATCGATGAGGTACCGTGTTGGATGTCAAAATGCGTTCGGACCACTCGATCCAGACGGATGCGCGTGATTCGAGGATCGGCATTGGAGATGCCCTAAGACGAATACATTTTTTAGATTATTTTTAACACGAGGATCAGCATTGGAGATGCCCTAAGACGGAAAACATTTTTGAGATTATTTTTAACACGGCACCAACATAGGCGCTCATATATACGAACATACATTCATCCTATGCGCACGAACATACGCGCTGCCCCTATGAGCACCTTTGAGAGATAAAGCCGACACGTCATCTTGAGATTGACGAAGTCATCGCACGCCTCTCCATAGTCGACAGAAATGTCTCCTCTCTCCCACTGAACAAACATCACCGGAAGTCTGAAAAAAATTCAGAAAAAATGCAAGCACAAGTAGACCCTGATGGTGGGCTGATTCCACCACAAACAACATATTTCAGATTGATGAGACGATCGAGTTGCCAGGAGCCCAGGACACGGGTGGCTCCTGAAATGACAATCTACATATGATTTTCTGTTTTCAGGATACAGATTGAGCGCTAAAAGAAGGAGAAAAAAGAGGGATAGCGCTCATCGTTTTCATCAAAGAGAAGTGCTATCACCACACGGTGGACCGGGAAACAGCATCGCTAGGGCAGCGGCAGAATGTGCGCGTACTTGATCACCTTGGAGACGGTCTCCAGGACTTGCATGGGAGTCACGTTGCCAACCACGGTCACCGTCTTCATCCCCAGCTCTATTCTGATGGACACAACTCCTGCACAACAAGAGGCAACTCATACTCTCATAGTATGTACACTTGTAGTAGTACACTTGATCGCCTACCGTGGAGCTTGGAGATCTGCTTCTCGACCTTCCTCGCACAGCCATGGCAGTGCATCGACACCTTCAGGGCCACGGTCTGCGCCATGCCATGCCAATGCAAGGGAAACATTAGGTGCCACAAGTTACGGCCACGTCTTGAGGTAAATTTCCGCTTGCATTTCCGGAATCAAGCGCTAGCTTACCTTGGGCTCCACATGCGCACCTGCCTCGGGTTGCTCGTCAACATGGAGACCCGTCACGGGCACCACCCGGTTCTGATCCCGGTGGCTCCTCAGCAGCCCGTTCCTCTCGTTGTTGTCTTCGTCTTCCTCCAGACGGGGACTGGCAGAGGAACGTGGCAGCCAACGCAGAGCTTTGTTCAAACCCATCGTTGAAGCCATGTCTACTGGGATATGAATGTCACTCACATATAGAGGTACTGCAGGCGCGTCATGTGCTAATCTACATGCATCAGGCAACCAATATTATCAGGGATACTTAGATCAACCACCAACCTAGAAGAAAAGATCCTCAGCAAGTCGCTGGTAGATCCATCCGTCCAACTAAACGGTTAGGCGAGCAGTTGAATGATTTGGTTGTGACTAAGACAAACTGCCGTCAATTTAGTAATGTGATAATATCGAACCGAAGTACTACCTCCGTCCGGAAATACTCCGTCCGGAAATACTTGTCATCAGAATGAATAAAGAAAATACTTGTCATCAGAATGAATAAAAGGAGATGTATCTAGATGTATTTTAGTTCTAGATACATCCTTTTTGTCCATTTTGATGACTCATTCTTTAAGAATCAGAAGGATCCTTTTCGAGTTTCCATTTCTTCATTTGGAATCTGGAAGTATTTTCGGACGGAGGGAGTAGCACACAATTGAACACAATCGATTGGGCACTCATCAGGCACAAAATTGACAAATCTCACCCACATTCCCACATACTCCAAAAGATACAAACTGCAGCAACAAAGCCACTTGCTCTTGCCAATACCACTATTGGAGGATAGATACATAGGTACATCAGAACTCAGACCGACATAAACTCGAGTCACTAACAAAATGTACTAAAAGCCATTCTTGCCTTTCTTTATCAATCAACACAGATCATTATTCAAACCTCTCTTCAACAACCGCTCACGTCTTCAGATGCCACCAACAAATTAGCCATTTCGACCAAGCAACACCTAAAATTTCATGATGTGCAATTAGTTGCATTCTCACCAAAACTCTAAAGTGCATTTCTTCGCTGCTCCTGAAAAACAGGCTTACCACAACTCAAGCAACAAATGCACCCCCTGCTCTGCTGTGAAGCGACCCCCATCAGATAACTACAGCACGAGCAGGCATCTATAAGACCTGCCACAACATAAATCATAGTTAACCCAGGTATCCAACCTCCAAATCAGGATTTACATGATTGGGAGATAATGCATGCGGGGGATAGAAGGGTAAAGGAGAGAACCAGAGAAAAGGGGGAACATCTCGGAGGAACGGTGCCTTGCTCACTTAAAATGCATTTATCTTGGAAAGTTAACAACCAAAAATGCCAGAACAGAACAGTACCTAATATAATTTAGGACACCAAGCCACCCAAAATGCTCAGATCATAACCAGAGATCACAAAGGGCCTACAACAGGGCCTGCATAAGTTGAGCGCATGTCACAATGAGTTTGCAGAGCAGAGAAGAAATATCAGAAAAATAATAGTGTGCAACTGACCGTAAGCAGCTTATTCAGATGAAATTCACCTTACAGGGTGCTTCACTGACTGAAGTTCATCTCTGAGTATCTGCAGTACAAGAGGACATAAATAAGCTCACAGCTCTTGTCCAAAAAATACTCCCTCCATTTCAAAATAAATGAAGTTCTAGGATTTTCCTAAGTCAAAACCTTTTTTAGTTTGACCAATTTTATAGAAAAATCCACAAAGATCTAAAATATCAAATATATATACTATAAATATATATTTCATAATGAATCTAATGAAATAAATTTGGTTTTGTAGATGTTGAAACATTTCTATATATACTTGGTCACAATCCTAGAACTACAATTATTTTGAAACGTGCGTAGTACTCTACAAAAATAATATTTTCGGAGTAAAAATATCTTACCTCCTATGCTTGTTCTGGCGCTGATCAAGCTCTTCAGTCACAATATCTGCATCACAAATTATAGATAAATGAAACAACTTACAAATTGTAGCACATGCTAAGAGTTTTTAAGCAGTACGGTGTAACAGGGGATCTCACAACTTACCGTTTTGGGGAGGAGATTTAGCCCCATGGTTAACATTACCTTCCCTGTATTAATATAAATAAATATATGTTAATGCCCTTTATGCTTAGAAGGAACCTTCATGAATGAAGCAACAGATAAATAGTGAAATATGATATATTATCAGGTCGGAACAGGGGCAGAGAAAATAGTATGAGCACCCCAAGTAAAGCAAATTACATGTTTACACAGCTAACAAGAAGTAATATCAGCTCATTTTGACGGTGGCTGATTCAAAAGGTGAACAACATATTAATTAGTCAACACTAATATTACCTGGATGGAACTGACGACGACGTCTGTCCTGAAGACCTAGAGTAAAAGCTTGGATCAAGGGTAATGTAAGGTGGATATGATCCTCCAAAAGCCCCAGCTGCACCAGCCAATAGTGGTAACCTATTGCCATCATTTAAAAGTGTTGTAAGATAGAGAGCAAAAAACACGTACAAATATTATAACAGGTGGCTCTCTGCTAAAATAGCAGAATTAGTCTCAAGTCCAGGGGGGAACACAAAAAAAGAGAAGAGATCAATAAGAGCTTGAACAATACAAAAAAGGAATTACATATAAGCTCAATGTACAAACATTGTGAAACAATTTCAGCTATCAAGTATCCCCTTGTCATTTTCAAATATGAGAAACTAAAAAACTCACTTTCAGCAACAAAGCAACTCTTGAAGTCATAGTTTACGGACATAGTAAAGTAAGATAAGCCAGATGTAGTCAAAAGTGAGAGACAACAAGATACATGCATTCGAATGATTCAGTGCAAATTATGTTTTGGCTTGATCCATTTACTGTCTTGTAAACCCCTTGCATGACTACATCGAGTACCACCGCAACAAACATCATTTCATAGACGGTGATGAAAATCTAACAGACAGAACAATAAACATAGTAAGACTAATGAAATATACCACGCCATTTCGTTATTTCCCCTTCCCAGCTGCTGCTGAGCCACATAGCCAGGGAGGGCCATACCAACAGTAGGAACTCCAAGCCCACCTGGATGCTGGCCGCCAAATTGCATCACTGCGTGAAGGATAAATAGGAAATGAATGGCCCAAGTGACTAGATTAGAAGAAAAACTAAATTAGAAATGTATCGGAGGTCCTAAAAGTATTTGAGGTGTGTCAGCTGGGTCCTATTAATAACTATAAAAATGCACGTCAGCTGAGGTTCACCATAGGTCCTATGCAGGTCTGACCTGTCAGCGTGACGCGTTGACTGATGCCATGTAAGCTCTATTTTGTAAAGAAGACCTAGAAAGCTAGTATATCTTTTCATTTCCTTGTGCCTAACCTCCCCCCCCCCAACACATAAGCCAACTGTGTTGGCGGGGTTATTTAGCTGGAAGTTCTCTGACAGACCGCTTTGCGCACGCATGCACCTTTGCCACCGCCGCACGATGTTGGTATGATTCCACCCACATGGACATGGGCTCCCGTGTGTGCAGCCCCGCACTCACATCACACCACATACCAGCAGCTCGTGGCATTACAGTACGTGCGCCACACCATCTCCTCCAACAGTTTTCTGCCCACTGCGGGGGCATGGGGAGGCGCCCTTGGAGCGCTGGCACACGAGCGCGATGCATACGTAACCCGTGGCCATTTACGCAGCAGCAGCGCCAAGCGCGCGTGCGGGTTGTTGACCTGGAAGGCAAGGTGGACATGGGGGCGTCAGCGTCCATACAGGTTGCCGGTGGGTCGCTTGCGGAGGCCGCCCTGCAGGTGCTGGACAGAGATAGCCGCGGCCAGTGCCGTATGCAGGAGTGACATGGCAGTGATGCTTGAGCAGGAAACATGAAGTCCTCCGAGTGGAAGAACGGGCAGGTGGAGGAGAAAGCCATGGGCGACTCATTCTCGTCCTCAGCCTGCTTATCCGAGACAATCTTGACAAAGCCTTCCACCTAAACAGCAATACTAGTGGCACCATGTCTGCTGATCTTGCTGAGAACCAGCTACTTGAAGTGCCTCGGGGAGAATGACAACGAGGACTCACAGGGGCTTCTCTCCATGATGTTTCTCATTGTTTCTTGCAGAAGCTGTTGGCTATTGTGTGTCGGTTGTGTGCGCCTATGTATGGAGGAGGATGGAAGGAATGGGGTTTTGTACTGTGAGAAGAAACTGGCGAGCAGAAGCCACCAAATTGAGCAGAGAGAAGATAAGTGGCTGTGAGCTCTGCACTGTTTCTTACTTGACTCTGCATGGCGTCAGGCGTGATGGCCCGGCCATGGGAATGGCCCATTGGAGAACTTCCCATTGAACAACCCTGCCGACTCCCACCGGCATAGGTGTTTGCTTTTAACTTGAAGAGGGACGGGGATGTTGGGGACAATAAAACTAGAAGATATAGTTTTCTAGGGTATTTTTTGCAAAATAGAGCTGAGATGGCACCAGTCAATGTACCACACGGGTAAGTCAAGCCTAGAATCCTAGATAGGACCTGCGATGAACCATACCCAGACGTGCATTTTCATAGTTATAAGACCCGGCTGGCACACCTCAAATAATTTCAGGACCTTGGGTACATTTTACTCATTAAACCATCACCAGAAAACAAGAATGTTGGATGGTTAAGAAAGCAAACCTGGCAGGAGAGCTGGGGTGCCAGGAAAATTTTGCTCGCCCTGGGCAAGACCAGCAGCCCCAATAACCTGGGCTCCACCATACATGAAGGAGCCCCGTCCAGTTTCTTTGTTGGTTTTTTCCACCTCAGATGTCTTGGATTGATTTGAACTAGGATATGAACCATTCTCGTCACTTTCAGTTGATCTAGCAGGTAGGTGCTGAGCACTTGGTGAAGCATTGCCCGTCCGATGGCTCACCTGCTGAGTTGGGATTCTCATTGCAGCTTGACTAGGTGCTTGGCCTGACTTCTGGTGCATAATTGAGGTATGATTTTGCTGTTGCGTAGAAACTCTAGAAGTTTGCTGAAATGATGGTGTGGGCCGATTATGTGAAGGAACACCAATGCTTGCATTTCCCCCTTGAGCCCTGTTATTAGGGGATTGACCAGAATTAATTGATGATGATGCAAACCCTGATGAGTATGATGATCCTCCTACACTTCTTGCAGGAGATGGTCTAACAGGACCCTCGGCATGAAACCTATCGCGTCCACCATAGTCCGTGGTTCCTTTCCCTCTAACTACTGGACCAGATTGTAGCTTCATGTTGTCATCCATCTTCATGGAAGATGGATGAACCTTATTTGAACCTCCTGGTTGTATGTCCCTTCTTTGAGCTCCCAGTTGGTTTGAGGCACCAGAGGGATAAAATGGTGGTGACGCAGAATTTAAGCTTGAATTGACAACATTCTTTTTAGCAGGAACTGCTTCCGAATGTGCATTTGAAATTTGGCCAGGCTCTCTGGCCGCTGCAGAATGAGCGACCAGTTCGCGAGATCTTGTTGGTCTGAACAAGTGATGACAAGAAAAGTGTGTGAGAGAAACATTACTTTGTACTGAACAAAGTAGTATTACATGAATCCAATTGTCCCAAGATATTTGTTACTTACTGTTTACGTTGGAACCCGACAACATCTCGGTTGTTCTTTGCAATTGTGTCATAACGTCTGGGTCCTCTCCCGCGGACAATCTTTTGGGGCCGGTTCTGGTTTTCACTATGATTTTGGTTGTCGCTATCTTCGTGATAACTGTGGTACCTCCCTCTTGAAAATCCATGGGCAGTGCCTCTAGTCCTACCTCCACTACCACGACCTCTAAAACGGCCTCTTGACATTCGCTTATCCTACAATGCAGAGAATTAACCTCAATATTGAAAAAAAAAATGTTTTTGCACGTCAAATTCAAAGGTAATGAGTACTTACTTCATAGCGCTCCTCATGCACGTTCATCTCCTCGAATCTGTCATGCACCCATGCTTGATCGTCTTTAGCATCCCATAACTTCCTCCCACCAAGCATTCGCCTAGTTTATAACAAAAATATCAGCATTCCTCCCACTAAGGGGCTGTTTGGTTTCAGCCAAGGTTAGCCCCACCAAATCCTTGGCGCTGTTGGCAAGCCAAAAAATTGGCCAATGATTCCACCGCCCTCGCCCTTACCAACAAATTGGCGTAAAAGGAGAGGACAGGGGAGGCGGGCTGGCGTGCCAATTATTTGGATCCCATCCAAACGCGCACCCTACAGCTGGTCAACGACCAATTTTTTGGTCGAGCACCTCAGGGCTGTAAACCAAACAGCCCCTAAGCAACAATTACAGCCAACATTATCCAATATTCCAAACAGTGGCATGCTAACAAGACCTGTAAATAAAAGTAAATTGACTAAACATAAACTGCAAAAACCCAGCCAAAACTATGACAATGGCCAACAAGTTCATATGTTGAATAACCCAGCCACCACAGTACGTCGACCCTTCTTACCAAGATACCAGCTTGCAGCCGCAAATGCAACACAACATTTCCCAGGAAGCTGGATGCATGTGGTGACAGAATAACTGACCATATCCAGTTACCATTACACTGCAAGCTATTTGCAGACCAACAATGTAGGAATAATTTTGGCAGAAAGAGCTGGAACATGTATGTGCCTAACCCTGTCGAGGAAACATAACGAATCTGACAGCTACAAGGTTTTCCAACATTGCATACCTCCAAACATGATTGTACTGGAAATATAATTTTATTAAAACCTATAACCGACATATTGTAATGCCTAAGGCAATCTTAATAACAACCTCTTGAGGCACGATTTGAAGTAAAAAAAACACTGCCATCATTGAACTACTCCCTCCGTTCGGAATTACTTGTCGCAAAAATGGATGTATCTAGACTTATTTTAGTTCTAGATACATCCATTTTCGAGACATGTAATTCCAAACGGAGGGAGTAGTAGTAATTAGTAAAGGTTGGGACTAAATAACACTACATTTGCCAGCCATAGTCTTTACTACCATAACAGCATCTTAAGAAACCAAATTAAAACACAAACAATTTCAATTAACTAAAAAAGTCACGAGATGGATGCAGATGATAATCTATATCCTTGATCTATCGATACTGGAGCTTCCTAGTTCACGCTAATGGAAGTACTTTGTTTTAAACAAACTACAGAAAATACGAACCCAGCCCTGCTTCACCTAACGTTCTCACCTAAGCCTTCTTCTGTAAAATTTAGTTTGCCTCGAATAATTTGCAAGTTGTCCAGAAACTATGAGCTGCAGTGGGAAGGTTTATAGTTTATAGAAAGGCACACCTGCGTCGGCCCCGGCCGTCCTCCTGAAACCGGTCGTCATGCATGTAAAACGCGCCGGAGGTGGGCACCGCGAATGGCTCCTGCTCCTTCTTCTCTTCGCCGTCAGCCTCAGCCTCAGCCTCAGCCTCAGCTCCCTCCTCCCCAGGCTTCTCGTCCGCCTCCCCCTGGCCGGCGGCGACCTCCTTGGGCGGCACAGCGTGGCCATCATACTCCTCCTCGAGCCCCTCGCCCACCTCCTCATCATCCAACAAATCATCGTAGTATTCCTCGTCCTCGTCCTCCTCCTCCTCCACTTCGCCCTCGTAATCCTCCGGGGCACCTTGGCCGTCGTCGTCGTGGTCGGGGTCGATCCGCGCCCTGGGAGGCCGCCTACCTTCCTCGGACCCCTCGTCGTCGCTGGCCTCCCGGCGACGCATCTCCGGGAGAGCGTCGTCGGGGTCGCTCACGTACTCCTCATCCACCTCCGACTCGACATCCTGCTCCGCCGCATCCTCGGGTTCGGGCGTCAGAGGCGCCGCGGGGGGCTTCTCGGTGGCGGGGGATTGCTCCGGGTGCGCGTCCGGGGGCGGCGGGTCGGCCATGGGCGGAGCGGAGGAGAGCGAGCGAAGCAACCCTAGATTTGAGTCGCGGTGTGGGGAGAGGTCAGAGGGGAGTTCGAATCGAAGGGAAGACGGGAGCAGGGGACAGGGGTGGACTCGTGGAACGGAAACGGGATGGATTACGGGTATTTCGGGAACGGACGGGACGTGATGACGTTTGAATCGCGCTCGTCACGGGTTTTGAATACTGCGTTTTTTCAAGTTTAACTTTGACCAAATGGTAGAGCAATAATATATGACATGCAACTTAAACAAAGCATATCATTAAATTCGTATGTGAAATGAACTTACAATGACATAATTTTCATATTATACATGTCATGTACTATTAATCTTGTCAATAGTCAAAGGCGGTCCTAAAAACGCATTAGTCCCTATACAGATAGAAGGAGGGAGTTAGTTTTATGCTTGTTCGAAATATGAAGTTTTATCTTTATGGAGTATGATCTAGCTAAAGCTAGAAACATGAAGCTAGTTTTATGCTTGTTTGAACAATTATCAGGGTTGAAGATTAACTTCCACAAAAGTGAATTATTCTGCTTTGGAAGAGCTAAAAAAGAAGAACAAGCTTACAAAGAATTGTTCGTGTACGAATTAAAATCTTTACCCTTCACATATTTGAGTATACCAATTCATCATCGCAAGCTTTCTAACAAAGAGTGAAAGAGCATTGAAGATTGATTTGAGAAAAAACTGAGCTGCTCGAAGGGCAAGCTTATGTCATACGGGGGATGGTTGATTTTGATTAATTCGGTTCTCACAAGTATGCCTATATTTTTAGTGTCCTTTTTTGAAGTACCAGTTGGGGTATGAAAAAGCCCTTCGAGCTTCTTCGAGCAGCTCAGTTGATTTCTATCAATCGCGCTTCTTCTGGCAAAGCGACGAATTAAAAAGAAAATACAAACTTGCTAAGTGGGATATCATTTGTAGGCCGAAAGACCAAGGAGGTCTAGGCATTGAAAACTTAGAGGTGAAGAATAGATGTCTTCCCAGCAAGTGGATGTATAAGTTCTCTGTAGAGACGGATGCCACTTGGGCACAGATTCTTCGTAATAAGTACCTCCAGTCCAAAACTTTGTCCCATGTGATGGTAAGACCGACTGATTCGCCTTTTTGAAAGGGACTCATGCGAGTAAAAGCTACATTTTTCAATAGGACAAAATTTGTAGTTGGCAATGGTACTTTCACAAGATTCTGGGAGGATACATGGCTAGGGGAGACGCCCCTAGCAATCCAATATCCTTCTCTCTATAGTATTGTTCAGCGAAGAGACACTTACGTTGCAACAGTACTACAGTCAAATCCTCTTAATATTCAATTCAGGAGGACGCTAGTGGGACACCGTTGGAAGCTTGGCTCCATCTTGTGAGAAGATTGATGGAGGTCCAACTCTCTCAACAGCCAAATCAGTTACGCTGGAAACTAGCTAAGAATGGGGAGTTTTTGGTTAAATCCATGTATTTGGATATTATCAACGCTAGCGTTATTCCTAGTTCAAAACATGTTTGGAAAGTCAAAGTGCCTTTTAAAAATCAAAGTGGTTATGTGGTATGTCCACAAACAGGTCATCTTAACTAAAGACAATTTGGCGAAACGCAATTAGTTGGGTTCTAAAAGATGCGGTTTTTGTGATAGTGATGAATCAATGAGACACCTCTTTCTCGATTGCCCTCTGGCAAAGATTTTGTGGAGGTCGGTCCACATAGCCTTTAATATATCTCCTTCGAATTCCATCAACACGTTATTTGGGACATGGTTAGATAACAACGAGACATATCTGTGTAGGAGTATGTGCTTTACTATGGGCAATTTGGAACTGCAGAAACGATTTGGTTTTTAATAGAATAACAAATATTCATTTCTTGCAGGTTATCTCCAGGGCCACTGCACTCATCCGTATGTGGTCGCTACTCACTTCATCGGAGGCCAGGGAGCATTTGATTACTGGATCTATCCCATGAGAGACGGTAGCTCGGGCTATATTTAACCGGTTTGGATGGCGGTCATGTAATAGGATAGGTGTTTAGTTTCCTACCTGTTTTATCTACATGTCGGTTGTGGCTGTCCGGTTTGTTGCTTTCATGCTCTGTGTTGAGCACAGCCTTTTTTGTTTGAGACTACGAGATATTTGTTGGATCTTTTGCTTATTAATAATATGGCCATATGCATCTTTCTGATGCAGAGGCCGGAGCAGTTCCCAGCATCGGTCGGTCGGTCGGTCGGTCGATCGAGCCGGAGCAGTTCCCAGCATCGGTGCCGAGCCGGAGCAAGGCGGCCTTCTATGATGCAAGATATTTGAGCCTTATACAGTGCTACTCCATCCGTTTACTCAACTTTGTACTAACTTTAATACAAAGTTGAGTCATCTATTTTGGAACGGACTTCGTACAAAGTTGAGTCATCTATTTTGGAATGGAGGGAGTAGATGCTTAAAAAAATAAACCGGGTTTTTCTGAAGCGACAGTGCTTATTTTTATAGGAGAGATGCCTAATTAAGCATCTACCCTGTACAAATAAGCACCGATGCTTAAGTGAAGTCTGGTTTATTTCTCTAAGCACCTCACCTAAGCACCTTGTATTGTACAAGGCCTTAGAGCATCTCTACCGTACCCCATACCCTGACCCGCAAAATAACTACTAAAATACGGGTCCGCGCGGAAAATGATGCCCGATCAGACCCCACAAATGCGCCGAACCCGTAAAAAAATTGTGGGGCGCGGTGTTGGGGATATAACTATTGAGTATAAACCGCCCAGGAGGGGCCGGGTTATACTCAGAAGGAGTCATCTGTATTGCAAAGCACAACTCAAACATAGGCGTCCACTGAGCACAACTCAAAATATTGCTTGGGGGCTCTTTGCTTCTACAAGAACATAGAGTATATAACCTTGTAGTAGGCTATAAAAGCCAGGCTTGGAAGCCAGGTGTATTCACCTAAAACCCCGGGTTATCCTGCCTTTTTAAGTAAGTCACTCCGTCCAGGTAATCCTGGTATGACCCATCGAACGTTTGACAGTCAATCTTATAAAGACCCTGAACTGTCATAGTTAAATTGACGATTGGTTAATGTGAGGTCCATCTTATAAGGCTTTGTGAAATGGTTTAACTCAGTGGCCTGGCAGCCCATAAAAAGCCTCGCCTTTTTTACATGTCTTTCTTTGTAAGTCTTTTCTTTTCGATGTTTGTTTCGATGAGGTTTATATTATAATCCGGTGCTTTCTAACCCGGTCTGGTTTTTGAGTTGCCAAGTACAAACTTACAAGATGACTGGTGTTAATTGACCCGGTTTGGCTTTCAACTATAAGTTATCAGTACACGACCAATTATAATCCGGTGTTTGTTAACCCGGTCTGGCTTTGACTATAAGTCGCCAGAATGATCATCCGGTGTTTATTATAACCCGGCATGGCTTCATCATAAACCAGCAAAGCATGGTGGGAGTTATCAGCACTCAAGATTTGGGTTATCACCCTTACTACAATGAAGTTGGTAAATCAACGATGTGATTCAATATCACAGAAACAGGATTGCATAAAGCTGCTAAGGATCATAAGCAGACATAATCATAATCATGGTGGAATAACAGTATTATGCAAAGTCAATATGCACGACGGCATAGCAGACCAAGTGTTTAAAACTAGCCTATTATAAGGCAGCAGACGCCCAAAAGAATAATTGTTTATCACCGATATTTCAGTATGCAGAAGTTAATCCGGCCTTCGGATCATGATTCTTCCTCAGGCTGGCCTGACGGTTATGGATCATCCTGCGCCGTTCAACCTCCGCCTCTCCACCCAGTGGCTGGAAGTCAATGGGTGCCCAGTCAATCCCATTTAAAGCTCGAAAGACAGCTTCATTGCTTATAAGATCAGACGGTTCAACGTCAGGGGCGTAGGTATGCTTACGGATTGGCGGGGTAAGATTTTGCACATCATATAAAGGTGCATCAACCCGTTTGTTGTCTGCGTCATAAATCGACTGGTAAAAAGACAAATCAGTCTCTTCAGCCAGTTTACTTGCAAGTGGACACATTTCCTTTGTCAAAGCCCTGAGATCGTCATTGTCAAAATCCGACCCGTCCTCTTTTTGGCTGGGATAGCCGTTTCCAATATCCTCCAGATTAAGATCAGATATCCAGGTCTTGGCCCGAGTCAATGCAGCCAGAGCACCAACCCTTGCAGCTGATTTCTTCAAATCTTCAAGTTGGGCAGGCATCATGGATAACTTTTCCAATGTGTCCTTGATCAATGTCGGGGGCGGTTTATTATGGGAAGCTGTGCAGATGACCCGTTGAACACCGGTATATAATTGCTCTATCAAGGTGTAGGCAGCCTTCAATTTCTTGCGCATATCCGAGCCAAGATGAGTAGCACGGCTACCTACAATGGTGAAAGAATTATTATTAAACCGGCAGTTTCAAGGATGTTGATTATTTACAGCTTATGAAGAGGGTATTTACCGAAGACAGCAGAGGTCATAGCGTTGATTTGTCGCTTCAGGCTAGTCAGCTCTTCTATCACCGGATTAAGGGCTGCTTCAGCATCCGCCGCCCGCTTTATCAGAGTTGTCTTTTCAGCATTCCATCCTGCCCGTTCGCTTTTAAAGATGTCCTTCAGTTGTTCCATGGTTGTTAAAGCGCCGGTCAGCTCTTCTTTAGCCTTGGAAGTTTCTGTTTGCTAGGACTTGATATTTTTTTGAAGGTCGGCGATTTGAGATTCCTTCTTATTCAGATCATCCTACAAGAGACATTTACTGAGCTGATAGTACATAATTGAAGTCCCAAGCACATAACAAGTTATACACTTGGCACTTAGGGGCTAATGCATATTGCTTTTTATCAACTGTCGTTTTCGAAGTCCCACCCACATAACAAGTTATCCACTTGGCACTTGGGGGCTAATGCATATTTGCTCCAGTTCAGGATATGGATTTTTTCTATTCAAATGGATTACATTGATAATTATCATAAATTTTGGAAGCTG